GACCAAAATCGGTCTGTATATATATTTAAACCGAATTTAATTTATCTTTATAATTAAAAAAATTTAATAGGACTTATATACGGACCAAAATCGGTCCGTGTATAGTTATACAGACCGGCTTTGGTCCCAATATATACCAACCTGAAGCTTTTTCCTTGTTTTCCTTATCTAATGCTCAATTCATTATACTCTTGTTTTAAACTATAACATTCCAAATGTTTGTGTGCCAAAGTGGTTAACCTTACCCAAAAAAATCAACTTTACTTGCTTCTGGCTCCAAAAAAACATTACGTAACCTTATATCTAATAATCTTGTACTTATACATTCAAGGTTTTACAACGATTCTATACCCTATACCGCATCATCGTTAGATAATTTCAAGTAAGAAATCGATGGTTACAGGGGAGCATAGTGTTGATGTTCACGCAATTGGTTTTCATAAGAACGGATTTGGGGCACGAAAAGATGGTGATGTCCTTAAATGAAAAGAATAAAAGGCTGCAAGGGGAGAAGTTTCTGCATTTTCACAATATATTTGGACCAAGAACGGTCTGAAAAATTAGAAAAGTGGAAGCTTCTGGATTATGCCCTTATATTCAGACCAAAATCGGTCTGTATATATATTTAAACCGAATTTAATTTATCTTTATAATTAAAAAAATTTAATAGGACTTATATACGGACCAAAATCGGTTCGTATATAGTTATACAGACTGACTTCGGTCCCAATATATACCAACCTGAAGCTTTCTCCTTGTTTTCCTTATCTAATGCTTAATTCATTATACTCTCGTCTTAAATTATAACATTCCGAATGTTTGCGTGCCAAAGTGGTTAACCTTACCCAAAAAAATCAATTTTACTTGCTTCTGGCTCCAAAAAAACATTACGTAACCTTATATCTAAAAACCTTGTACTTATACATTCAAGGTTTTACAACGATTCTATACCGCGTCATCGTTAGATAATTTCAAGTAAGGAATCGATGGTTTGGAGGTTATAGGGGAGCATAGTGTTGATGTTCATGCAATTAGTTTTCGTAAGAACAGATTTGGGGCACGAAAAGATGGTGATGTCCTTAAATGAAAAGAATAAAAGGCTGCACGGGGAGAAGTTTCTACATTTTCGCAATATATTCAAACCAAGAATGGTCTGAAAAATCAAAAGAGTGGAAGCTTTTGGATTATGCCCTTATATTCAGACCAAAACCGGTCTATATATATATTTAAACCGAATTTAATTTATCTTTATAATTAAAAAAATTTAATAGGACTTATATATGGACCAAAATCAGTCCGTATATAGTTATACAGACCGAGTTTGATCCCAATATATACCCACCTGCAGCTCTCTCATTGTTTTCCTTATATCATGCTCAATTCGTTATACTCTTGTTTTAAACAATAATATTCCGAATGTTTGCGTGCCAAAGTGGTTAACATTGCTCAAAAAAATCAATTTTACTTGTTTGTGGCTCCAAAAGAACATTACGTAACCTTATATCTAATAACATTATACTTATACATTTAAGGTTTTACAACGATTCTATACCGCGTCATCGTTAGATAATTTCAAGCAAGGAATCAATGGTTTTAGGGTTCCAGGGGAGTATAGTGTTGATGTTCATGCAATTGGTTTTTGTAAGAACGGATTTTGGGCACGGGAAGATGGTGATGTCCTTAAATGAAAAGAATAAAAGGCTGCAAAGGGAGAGGGTTTTGGATTTTTGCAATATATTCGGACAAAAAATGATCTGAAAAATCAGAAGAAGGGAAGCTTCTGGATTATTTGAATATATTCAGACCAAAACCGATCCGTATATAGATTTAAATCGAATTTAATTTATCTTTATAATTAAAAAAATTTTATTAGACTTATATACGAACCAAAATCGGTCCAAATATAACCGATTACTACGAATACAAGATTCTTGATTTTTTTTTTTTTTTTCAACGTATTCAGACCAACAACGGTCTGAATAAAGGTGAGCAGCATATAAATACATAACTTAGTTCATCTTTACGATTAACACTTATATATACAGATCGATACCGGTCTGAATATAACCGATTAGGTTTCGTTCTCGAAAAATTAAATTTTTTTAGGATTGGTGCTTAATTATTTAGTTACAGACTATTTTCAGTCCGTATAGTTTGCCTCCAAAATTTCACCAAAGATTAAACTTTTTGATAATTTACAAACCAATATCGGTTTGGACATGTTTGCCGCCTAAATTTTTAGCAAAATTGAAGCAATCCGCTCGTGATAATGTGGCCTTATTTTTGGTATATTCGGACTGGTTTCGATCCGTATATAGCCTATGTATACCAACTCCCACTCATTCTTTTTCTCATTTTCTCTTCTTCTTCTCTTTCTTTTTCTTCTTCATCTCGTCCGTTTCTCTTCTTTCTCATTTCCCTTCTCTATTCCTTTTACTCTTTCTCCTTTTTACTTAGTCTTTCTC